GAAGCATTTTGATCGGAAATTGATGTGCTGCTCGAACCCGTGCAAAAGGGTTAGTAGAAGTCTATGGGTTTTCTTCTTCTCTTATGGTTTCCATGACTATTCGCTTCAATTTCATAACCGCAATTGAGACATCTAATCTACCATGAATATCAAGGAAGAGAAAGAGAAAGATAAACTTCCATCTTCATCTGCATCTTCATCTCCATCGACGTCTTTCTCTCACTTCTCGCGTCTTTTCGAAAGATAATTCGATCAATTCGCTTGAACGAACGAAATAAAGAAGCCTTCAGCCTCCCCAACTCTACCCTCCCCAATTATCTCTTTGTTACATATGTGCTATGTAAGCCTCCACAACAAAGCCTCTCCTTCCCTGTCTCGCCTATTTCCCTTCAAATCCTCTCTTTTCTTCAAAGAATCTAAAGTTAGACTCTGCGGATCGAATCTCTAGTTTATTGTTCTCCAGGTTATTATTACCAATGATTCTTTGTGTATATAGACCTCGACTCGCTAACCCCTTCTTTTTTTCTTTCTTTCCTTTCTTTCCCTTCCTTTCTTTCCCTTCCTTTCTTTCCCTTCCTTTCTTTCTTTCCTTTCGACCGCCTTTTCTTCAAAGAATCCAGAAATAGATTCATTGTTAAGCCTCTTGTTCCTCGAATATCTCTTTGTATGTAGACTTCGAATCGAATCGGAACAATTACGTGTATATCTTCTGGTAAGAGTATAAATGAGCGAGATGTTCTTGGAGTGTTGGGTTTTGCTATCTTCATCGGTATTACTATCTAGTCCTACATTCAGCTATCACCAAACCAAATCATCAGATCAGATCACGCTCACGCTCACTCTATCACCACACCTAACCAAACCAAACCAAACCAAACCAAACCAAAAATGACATTCTCCTACGTCTGCTGTTCCTGCGCCGAAACCAACGAAACTGCCTCTATAAGCGACACTGGCTTTTCCAAGATCTGTAAACATTGTAATACGCATTATCGGTGTATTAAGTGTTACTTTTTCTTGATGGGGAAGATGACGTATCAGTTGGGGCACTGGGGGGCTAAGTACACTTAGAGGGGTGTGGAGGGAAGAGGGGAGAGGGGAGAGGAGGGGGGGAGCATTAGAGCTGGACTCTTTGATGAGGAGTCTTTTTTTTTCAGAGAGAGAGGATGATGAGTTTCTAGTAGAACTAGACGGAGATAGAAAAAGGAATTGAAATATGAAAGAATTTCCTGGATATAGAATGTTTAAAGAACGAGAGTGAAGTGAAGTAAGTGAGATAATTAAGAATGTGAAAAGTGTGAACATCTCAACCACGGAAAGAGAAATTAAGCGAATCTTTGTTATTTCGAGACTTTAGAGGTACTGAAACTTCATGTTACCATATGTTTTACTTTTACTTTTAATGTTGGTTGGAGTTAGAGAGTATAGCGTGAGAGAAACAGAGTTCGGAAAAGAATTGTAAATAGTGTAATCCATATGATGTGAATGTTAAACAATGTCTTCTAATGCAGGGATTTGACATTCGACATTCGACATAAATGTAGATATTTTTAACCTGTCCAAGACGTGGAAAAAGAGCAGACTGATGATTATTCATCAATCCCTACTCCCTTATCTCATTCATTTAGATAAAGAACACATCATCAAAAGAACCATCCATCAACAACCAAATAAACCCAATTCTTCAATCTAAAAAGGGGCAACTAACACACAACTCGGTAAAATCAATTTCCCCTTCTACCACTCCTCTCCCCTCCACCCGTCAAGCAAACCCATCATTACAATTACTTAAAATCCCTATCTTCCACATCCACCCAACTACTTCATCGTAACCTCCCAATCCACACAAAATCACAAACAAAAATACATACACCCTCATACCACCAACCCACACATCTAAGCGCCACCGGCCCGCCTTCCTCCCATTTTCCCTTCCTTCAAAAACTCCCAACCTACCTAGTAGGCACCAAATGATTCCACCCCGCTCATTAGGCGAAATCGGGTGCACTGTACAGTACGTACCTAGGCGAGCTAGGTACTCCATATATCCGGCACAAAAATAAAAGAATGCCTAGCAGGAACGGTACCGCACGACCAAATAGTCGTTGAGATGTACATCCGGGTACTGCATGTTTGTTTACAGGTCGGTAGGCAGGTAGGTAATAGGTGACTAACTAATTTTACATTTTAGGTAACGAGGGAGAGGGAGGGAAATACCACAATTTTAATTTTTACGCTTATTTTCAGATCGGGAGGGGAGATGTGCAACTTGTCTATATGTGTATCTACCTATCTTCAAGTCCACTTTAAAAAAAAAAGAGGAAGAGAGTAGGAAATCTGAAAGTAAATAGAATATCAATCAAAGAATGACTCAAAATGCTAATCTACAGGTGAGGTAAAATACAGCGCCCCATCATAGGATTACGTTCAAAGACAGGAAATTCTACATGCATATATACAAACATGTAGATATACATGTAATATTTTTAGAATTTTCAAGTGAGATATGCAACATTCAAAACCATTCTAAATTCCGCTGCTGTCTAGCAGGTACTAGGTAGCAGAAGGTCGGGTTTTGAGTCTGGGGATCGATGGCTTTGCAAGGCTTTCTTTTTTCTTTCTTTCTTTCTTTCTTTCTCGTGCGGATCTTGTTAGTATACCTAGTAGTATTGAGCGAGGTCGAAGGTCGATTTTGGGTTCTGGATACCTGCCTAGAGTCTGAATATGCCATGATTTTGGAAGTATTTTTAGATTTTGAAAAAAGAGATGTGCAACAAGAAAGTTTGAAAACACGAGAGAGGGTTGGGGGTGGGGATTGGATATATAAACTCTAGAGGGGTTTCGAAGTTTGTAGATGAGTTGTCTGATAGTTTAGAAACCACTATTCGTGTTTCAAAGGGGATCAAGTCTCTAGAAGATAGAGATGAGGCCTTGATGGAATGGTAACTGAACGAAGTGGTAGTCTCGAGAAGACGTGGTAGAGAAAGTTGGAGATGATTAGAGGAGAAATGGTCATGGAGTGGAGAAAAGAAACGAGCGGAGACTTAGAAGGCAGCCCCAGTGTAAGGGTAAACCCCTAGATTCCTTCATATTTGACGTGTACGCTCCCAATGTAATCTCCCCCCTTCATTTGTATAGACAACATCTTGCTGTATGATGCCTGACTGAGAAAGATAAACCATATACTTATCCTTCCCAAATCACCGGTCATCTACCACTCACGACTGCATCAGAATCAGCCACTTAAGTAATAGACTAAAAACAGGTATTCATTATCATTAAAATTAATAATAGTATCCACTAGCTCTGGCTTTAATTCGACACAGAGCACAAGAGGAGCTCGACTCCAATCATCAAGAGAACTTTTTGGTCAGGACAATCCCATAAGATCTCTTCGCTCCCCCTTCATCAACAACAACCGCCTCTTCTTCTTCTCTGACCAGTCAGCGTAAAAACCTCCTCCACTCCCTCATTCCCCCAAGTCCCCAGTTCTGCCCCCTCTTCCCCTTCCTCCTCCTCCTCGTAATCCCATCTTCAATCGTCATTCCACTCTTCACACTGGCTCCATCACTAGCATTTGTATCCCATCTCCCTCCATCCCCATACTGTATTCCACTCATTGGATCATCGGGATCGATTTCTCCCAACTCAATCTTCGTCAATATCATCCTCGCCAATCTATTAAAAACTTCCTCAACATTATCACCCGATAATGCAGAAACCTCCACCGAAACCGGTATATTTGCAGAACTAGCCCATCTAGATGCTTCTTCCGCACTAACATCTCTTCCGTCCGGCGCTACACTTGCTTTTAATTGTGATCCTATCCCCGCATATCCCGAAGTCGAATTCACAGATCCGCCCGCCGAAAAAGGAAACGAGGAATTCTTGCTATTAATACTAGATGGTGTTGCGGGCGGCACAGATGTATCTATTAAATCTGCGTTTGAGTCCGCGAGATCCGTCTTATTGCCCACAAGTAACAGTGTAAGGTTTGGAGAAGCAAGTGCTCGCGCATCATTAAGAAAGGTAGGGAGTCCGGTAAAGGAATTATGGTTCGTGATATCGTAACATAGAACTGCGCCAGCGGCGCCACGGTAGTAAGAGCGTGATACAGAGCGGAATCGTTCTGTTCCTGCTGTATCCCATAGCTTTTGTATGATTAGCTCTTAGCTTGGAGGGGGGCGCAAGAAGAAGAGGGGAATGGAAATACCTGGAGCTTAATGCGCTTCCGTCGAGAGCCACTACCCACTCTTATAATCTTGCTTGCGAATTCCACGCCGATAGTTTGAGATGACAAGATCCTCCATTCGTTTTTGACAAAGCGATGTAATAGACATGATCTGTGCAACATCAATATCATATCCATATCAATCCAACCATAAACATCCCACTCATCACGAACACATAGAAAATGTAACATACTTGCCGCTTCCACTTGGTCCTAAGAGTATAATCTTAGCCAAATAATCGTACATGCTACCTAATTCCTGACAATCCATTAGTATTGGTATGAAATGTCTTTCATTTTGTCTTAAACTTGGTATATCTTTATGTTGGTTCAGCAATGAAGGCATGGAAAACAAACCTGATCTCTGGTAGTACTGGCACTCTCATCACTTGCGGCGGATGAACGCCTTGGTCGTACCATCTTCACCTATGGGTGGGAATACGATAACGGGATCAATCTTTTGTTGTTCAAGGCACAGAAGGTCGAGATTTTTTTGGAAGTTGTTTAATATTTTTACAATTTGGAATTTCTTGATTTCCTTCAGTAAATCGAGACTACAATAGGACGTGACATCAAAGTTGTCGCAAGTTCTTATCGCATCGGTGTTGAGCCAATCATTTCCCGACGCTAAACTAGTTTGGATTGGCTTTATGTAGATTAGAGGGATTTGATAAGCCGAGGCATGTGATGAGTGAGGTATGAGGAAGAAGAATGGTTTCGTGAATGCTCAGAAGTCTTCTTTAACATATATTATTCAGATATTATCAAAATGAAGATTGAAGGTAGAACATTCATTGTATCAGGCGGGTAAGTGAAATCATGCAACTATGAATGAATCAAACGTTACTAACAAGACATACAGAGCTTCAGGCTTAGGCCGAGCATGTGTTGTTGATATCTGCCAAGCTGGAGGATATGCAGCTGTTCTAGATATGAATGAAGAGTTGGCTGAAGAGTTGGTTAAAGAAGTAGGAGGTGGAAAGATTAAATTCTTTCGAACAGATGTATTAGAAACAGATAGTATCACCAATGCTGTTAAGGGTGCCTTGGAATGGGTGAAAGAAACTGGAAAGGAGGTTGGTGGAGTTATCGCAGCTGCTGGTGTAGCTACTCCTGCTAAGGTATGTTCTCAATGTTTTGTTTTTAAAACAATGTTCTGTTGAAATAAGATTGCCTTTGAAGTGTTACTGGCTCTATACTTTTCCCGTTATGGTAGTTTCTCATAAATGCTCTTGCGTCGACCATACGCAACCTCCAGCGAAGATTTCTAAGACTTTCCCTTGACATCCCCTTTCAATATTTTCCTTCAACAAACCTCTCCCAATCTCAATTCTCATTCCTTAAGCTGCTCTATTGTGGTCCCCTCCTTACCCGGAGTACAGAGTTACTAACACACTAACCTCCCCAACCTCAGATCCTCGATCGCGACCTCAATCCTTTCTCTCTCTCCGATTTTGACTTCGTAATGAACGTCAACGTCCGCGGTACTATCGATTTGATACGTCAATGTCTTCCCCACATGGCTCGTTCCACCCCTATGAATGAAGATGGTGAGCGTGGTGTTATCATTATGGTTGCTTCATCTGCTGCCTTTGATGGCCAGCCTGGTCAAGGTAAATCTCCCTTCATTCTGTTCTCCCATTTCTCATCCCATCCTGAATTTAAGAGAGGTTCAAGATGCTGACAGATAAATAGTCGCCTACTCTGCTTCAAAGGGCGCGATAGTCTCCTTAACCCTTCCCTTAACCCGTGATGTCGCAAAACATGGTATTCGCGTCGTAACCATAGCACCCAGTCTTTTTGATTCAAGAATGACGGCTATGATGAGTGATAAAGTGCGAGCGAGTCTGACTAGAGTTATGGAGTTTCCACGTAAGTTTTTCTTCATGTCTCTCTATTTTCCGAATATCTCCTTCTCATATGTTGTATCCCACACATTGTTCCCCCCCAATATCAAAATTAGAACAAACGAGTTAATCATAAGAAAACAAACAGTACGACCGGGCAAACCCCACGAGTTTGCACAACTGGTAAGACAAAGTATTGAGAATGTGATGTTGAACGGAGTAGTTTTGAGATTGGATGGAGGAATGAGGATGCCGAGTAAGATGTGAGGTTTGGGTGCACTTTTGTGTGGTTTCTGAGTTTATATCATGGGTCTGGATTTGAAAGTTTGACAGAAAGTCGCAAAGGTATTATTTTGACGGATTATGATTTGTAGTACGTAGTAATTGTATATTGTATTGCATTTATCAAAAATACCTGTGAAGATTAAAGTATAAGAGTGTTTGTATGGCCAATACCTCAAAAGTTAAGAATAAAATATACAATTACCATATGGAGATTGCAGTATATCAGAATTGAGAATTCATTTATGATAGTGGACTAGATTGGAATAGACAGCGAAGTTGTGAATCATTATTAGTGAGAAAACGAGTGAGAAGTTTGTAGAGGTAAGTTCACGATGCAGGACAAATTTAGACAGGATATGTATAGTATATCATCATGATATATAATACAAATATCAGCTAGTGAAAGTTCTCCTACTGATTCTAATAAGCTTTATCCTATATTGCATATAGTACTAAGTAGTCGTTTTAAAAGTATTAAGGGAAGAATAACGTAATATATCAATATCTGCCAATATCGAACAAGCATAAAGTTTCAATCCGAGATCCATACAATATGATAGCAAAAGAAATGTAAGGTCATGAGTTTAAATTGTTTACCCTCTTTGAATAAACCACACATTAAATCGCATACAAATTCATATCGATATAATCATGCTTCTAGTAGAGTTCAAAAAAATCATCATCTCATCTCATCTCATCTCATCTAAAACTTCAATGTCCCCTGTCTTGTTTCATCCCATCGTCTGTACCGATTATCCTAGTATCAACCTACCAATCGCATATACATTACTCCGCAATTCCATCCAACGCATGCAATGAAAGGGGAGACTCATCCGAATGAACTTGGGTTTGAAGTTTGAAGTATATTAATTGGCGGTTCCTCAATTTCAATGGAGAGGGACTCCTGAATGTTTTCTTTCGTTTTCTCCTATGAAAGTATTGTTTTTGATCGATTCGAACGTTTTCGCATACACGCCGTTAGTAGTTCCAAACTTGGCGTGACGCTTTGGTTCAACTTTAGGCACTCTATCCGGATCTCGTAGTTCGTTTTGGTGATAGAGCCCCAGTCATCGTTTGGGTGACGGGGGTGCTGCGACTACACAGATTGGATAGTGCATGGATGGCGAGGTGTGCGGAAGTGAAGGTTAATATATCTGCATCCAGACCTTTCATCTTTTTGGGTTTGGTTTCTGTCCCAATAGTAGTTTATTGCAGGAGTTTTGAGATGAACAGGATTGAGTCAATGGGTCTACGCTGTATTGAGTTGAACACATGTGGTGATGGTCCACTGTCCACTCCTCTTTTTCACAAACGAAATTTAGATGGCTTACATTGATTGTTTGGGGGTTTGACAATGGGAGGGGAGGATTTCATATAAGTAGGTTTTCTTTCCGATAGAGAGGAGGAAGTTTTTCTCTCTTGCTTCTTCAACACGTCTTTCCTCGTTCAAATCTTCTATCGCAAATACATTCTTTTTTGGTGCAAAGTCGCCTCTCACATTCATTCAAATCAAATTTTATACATTCATTCATCCAGCTAGTTCTGGTAGATTTCGCTCCCTTCATCTTCATCGATTCATATCTCAAACTTCCAACCCTCTCCCAATCAAGAAATTTATTATCTCGACGATAAACAAAATCTTTTTCAAAATGCAATACACATCCACCATCCTCATGGCCGCTGGCCTCATCACCTCCGTCTCCGCCCACGGTCGTATCCTCACCCCAACTCCCCGTAACCCCGGTGCCGCCATGGCATCCGCATGCGGACAACAAGTCGAGGTAAACCAAGCCTCCGACCCCAACGGAAACATCCAAGGCATGCTCCAAGTTGCCGCCAGTCAAAGCGATTACGATGCCGCCGCATGCAACATCTGGCAATGCAAGGGTTACAAATATGCCGACAACACTGATCTCGTGCAAAGCTGGACTGCAGGCCAAGTCGTTCCTTTCACGTTCAATGTTGCGGCTCCTCACACCGGTACCGCCAACATATCCATTATCGACACTGCCGCCAACACCGTCATCAAACAATTGTTGTACTATGATGTCTTCGCAAGCACAGCCACCGGTATCACAGCCAATGAAACTAGCTTCAGCATTACCATCCCAGATGATCTCCCAAGCACCTGTGCTACCCCTGGTGGATGTGTTGTCCAACATTGGTGGGATGCCGCTTCTATCGACCAAACCTACGAGTCTTGCGTTGATTTCACCGTCGGTTCCGCATCCGGATCCGGATCTGCCTCTTCCGCAGTCGCTTCTTCCGCCGTCCCAGCATCCACCGCCGCTGCTTCTTCCGCGGTCGTCGCTTCATCCGTTAGCTCCGTCGCTGCCATTGCTACCTCCGCCGCGGTTTCCAGCGCCGTCCAAACCACCACTTTTGCCGCTCTCCCAACTACTTTGGCTACTGTTACCAAGGCAAGCAGCACTTCCAGTGCCGCTGCCATGGCTACTTCTGCTGCCCCAGCAGAGGGTGACGATACTTGCGGTGCTTAAGTATTGTTTGGGTAGAGTCGTAGATGTGTTTTTGTATATTTAGATATGTGGATAAAGGTAGATGATAGATGGAGAAGAGAGTTTAAAAAATTTCTTGTATATAGATAGATGTTGATCAATGAAAGATGTTTCAATTGCAGTTATTGCATTTATTGTATTGCGTGTTTTGAAATTCGATATGATATATCTAAGTATCTTGCATGTGTGAAAATCTTGTGGTACCTTCTTCCTTCTATATATATCACAATATCACCTTTTCAACAGCAAGAAGAGAGATTCCAGATAAATAGCTTGAAAGCCAGAAAGATAAACAGTACAAGATCCATCCATCCATCTATTCTTATAATACCAAAAGACCAAAAGACTAGAAACTCAAGAGTATACTATACCTACGAATCAGAAACTATACACTATCACAATAGTAAATATATTCATTCTCATCTCTAATACAATACAATACATTACATTACATTACAATACTCCCAGATACTAATAAACGAAAATCTATCATGTAAAAAGAACATCATTCTCAAACTGTCTGGATATCGCATCTCATCGCATCCTATTATATCCCCTTATTATCTTTTAATTTATTCTATTATAGTGATTATTGATGTTCGTTGATGTTCGTTAGTATATAAATAAACCTATCTACGAGTAGATAGACTGTGATTGTTTTGGATATTTGGATTTGGATTTGGATTTGGATTTGGATTTGGATTTGGATTTGGATTTGGATTTGGATTTGGATTTGGATTTGGATTTGGATTTGGATTTGGATTTGGATTTAGATTTAGATTTAGATTTGAAGTTGAATTTCAGAATGAATGAGAATAAGAATGAGAATATTCTTCAAAAAGTACTTTTTGAGATATCTCATGGTTTGATTATAATATTAGAATTGTTTTTAGAAATTTTTATGTGTATATATATGTATATATATAAGATCTTATGTATATTCTCCTTCTAACATCGGATTCCTCTTTATATAATTATTATATATCTTGATTTTAAAGATATTATATATTATACTCGTACTCTTCGAAGTAATAATATCATAATATCATATTATCCTTCTCTTCTATTTAATTTAGTATTCGTATAGAAATGAAAAATATTCTATTATTACTCCGTATATATATATATTTGATTATTTACATTTCCTAATTATGACAGACTCTGTAATCAAAAGATCTAGACCTAAAATAATTTACCTACCTATCTACGATATCTACTTAGTATATAATCGTAGCACGAGCAGCGAGCGGTAAGCCTACGGAGGACCGGGACCGAATAGCTTGGATGATCGGATTTTTGCTAGGTGTTTTAAACGCCGAGGTCAGCTTGCTACGATGTTAGTTAGATGTTGGATATCTCTACAATCCATAGCTAGGTAGGTGTTTGTGGTGAAAACGCGTCATGTAGGTAGTATTCTAGATTTCGTGATCATTACTCACGCATACCGGTAGGTAGGTAGGTAATCATTGAGAATGAATGAATGTATCATTATGATGAAATATTTTCCATGTACGATATCTATGATAAATAAACTGAACAATACCAGTAAAGAATTAGATACCTAGTAATGAATTGGATAGGGGCACCCTCACCATTATATCATCACCAGCCACACCAGCCACGGTCAAATGATCACAAAATCCCGAGGTATTAACGGATTCAGCCCTGTTTTATTGGTTGGTTCTGGGGTTTTCTTGGAATGTTCTATGGATGGATACTTGACTTGTTTGGGGTGCGGAATGACTATTTGGGTGGGTACCTAGGTAGGTAATGGATGAGAAGGTGTACGTATGTGGCTGTGCTGAGTTGTGGCGGAATTGGCTGGGACGGGTGTTTGATGTGATTAATTTGTGCGTTAGTGTTTCGTTGGCGCTGGTGTGAAGTCTGGATGGATGGATGGATGGATAGAGATAGATAAATGGATGGATGGGGGATGTACGCAAGCGCTGATCTTTTTGATGTTGGGTTTCTTTGTGATGAGATGAGATGAGATGAGGTAGTGGATTGAAGGATGGGATTTTGATGGAAGGGTTCTTTAGATGAGGGATGTGAGTTGTGGATTGTGTTGTCATTCTGATATGCCATTCTGAACTTTGAGCATGCCGGATTGGGAAGGACGTTGAATGCCCAGGTGGGTATCTGATGCATCATATTGGAAGTGAATACTTAGAACATGAACTACATTGATGTGATACTTGGCAATGAGCATAATCGTCCATGCTTTGGAAATGTCTGATTTTTGACGTGACTTGGCGTGGGGGAAGGACTGGGAAGGACGGGAAAGGATTGGACTTTAGAAATGATTCATATGCTCGAATTGGTAGGTACGAATCTTATATGTGCTTTCCTGGATAGAGATGAGATTGATGAGGTGTGAGAGAGTTGCCTGGGGATTGAAGATGGTGAATTATGATTAAGCTTGATGGAGACTAATAAGTAGGTAGATAAGAAAGATTGGATTCTCATATCTGCAGTTGATAAACAGGAGACGAGTATCAATTGTAATCCATTACATGTGAAAATATCTCATCGATTACAGATTACTCGACATTGTGTTTCTACATTCTACATTCTACTCTTTAATTTTTACATTCTACTTCTAATCCGATATCAAATCCTTTCCCTCGTGATTCAAGTACCTGTACCTGATCTACGTGCGTAACTTAACTGCCGGCAATTAGTCACTTGCAAGGCAATCAACGGATCA